TCCTTTCGTGCGAGCGAAAATTTTTCGACGGCCCCTCCCGTTCCCTCCCTCGTTCGCTTTTATACGCTCGATCCCCCGAGCCGCGCACTTTTAATCTTAGAGGCAATCTCGCCCACGTAGATTTATTGGCAGCGGTTCCTTGCGCGCTGCAGGGCTACCGTGCACTCGTGCGCGAGTAGCCCTCCCTCCTTTTTGATTGCGTGCACCTCGATTCGTTACGTGCGCTCCCATTTATCGGCCGCTTACGGTTAATCCGCGGCGTCCCGCCGAGCGATTGTTCTCTCTCTCTCTCTCTCTCGCTCTCCGCGCAAATAAACCGATTCGAGTAAAAAATTTGCGAATCCTTCGTTTGGGCCTTTGGTTATTTTTAAATTTTAGAAGATGTAGTTTTCGAGTTTTCTTTCTTCTTCTCTTTTTCTTTTCTTTTCAGTTCGCCTTTCGTAGAAATTCTAGTTAAAGTTTTCTAGTGATTGTAAGATGGACGTTGGACGCGATAAACGGGGAACAAGTGACGTGTAATAATTCAACGGGAACGTGATGATTCACGCGGCAGAACGAGCGTGTCTCGTTCCACGGAACGGAAAGGAAGAAATTCTATCATGTGAAAATAGGTTGTTTTTTCCAAATTCAAGATTTTCCAATTCTCGGATTCTCGTCGATTCCTCTAATTCGCTTGCACCTGATCTTCTAAATTAAAATTTCCGGCTTTAAATCTTTGGTATCACTTTTTGCTTGTGTTTCTCTTCGTGGCGAATAAACTATTTCAATGGACAACTGATTTCCTAAACTGGAATGCAAAGCAGCGACGAGGAACGAGCGCCATATTGTAGCGAAATTGTTGCACAGAATTGAAAACTTTCAGAGCGTTCTTCTTAAAAACGAAAGAACGCTCTTTCGAATGACGAACAGAAGTTATGATGGTAGAAAAAAAGGAGAAGGAAGTTTGCACACTTAATATTTGCATAGCAAGTTGAAACCGGATAACAGTAATTAATTAATTATACGCAAACAAACGGCGCTCGAGAGAATCGTTAATCCGCTCTGAAGTGAAGCGAGCGTTTTCAGCGCCATCTTCCCACGACTTTTTCATCGTCTCTTGTCGCCGCGTGTTCCAAAACTATATATGAATTAACATGAATTAACGTTCAGAAAACGAAATGAATCGGCGAGAATCACTCGGGTGTTGATATGAATTAAAGTATATACGATATTTAGATTCAAGAAAACCGCGGGAAGACAGTTGCGTCAGATGAAAAAATTTTTAAAAAAATTTCGTAAAAGAAAAAAAACATTCGATATCGGTAACAAAAAACACCGATGTGCCGATTGTAAATAGTTCTAAACCCGAGATCCGCGTCTTGCAGAATATAACATAATCGTTATGCGCATCTCCACGTGGGTTGCGCTTAACGAGAGCCTTAACGAGTTCCGACTCTCGACTATCACCTATA